GACCACTCTTTCCGTGAAGAAATCTTTCCCCAGGTCCAATCTAAACCTCCCCTGGCGCAGCTCGAGGCCGTTTCCTCTCGTCCTGTCGCTTGTTACCTGGGAGAAGAGACCGCCCCCCCCCTCGCTACAGCCTCCTGCCAGGTGGTTGTAGAGAGCCATGAGGTCTCCCCTCAGCCTCCTTTTCTCCCGGCTAAACAAGCCCAGTTCCCTCAGCCGCTCCTCATCAGCCTTGTTCCCCAGACCCTTCCCCAGCTCCGTCGCCCTTCTCTGGACACGCTCCAGCCCCTCGACGTCCTTCTTGTAGGGAGGGGCCCAAAACTGAAGACGGCATTCAAGGTGCGGCCGCACCAGGGCCGAGTACAGGGGCACTATCACTGCCCTGCTCCTGCTGGCCACACTATATATAGTTTTCCAAAATTGTTGATTTTGGTTTCCTTACACAAGTGTTCTTCTGAGCATAGATGGAAAAGAAGAAATTCAGCAAACTGGAAATTCTATTAATCGTCCTCTTCTGTTTGGTGGTGGCTGTGGCCTGTGTCCTCATCGGGATTTTAGCAACGAGGGAAACCGTATCCGAAAGCACCCGTAAGTGCTGATTTTATCTGGAGCAGTTGCACAGAATTTTGCAAAATGAGCGAGTTAGCAGTGGTTGAGGCTTGTTGGAAGTGACGTTCACGGTTGGAGAGTTTCCAGACGATGAGAAACGACTTGGGAAAATCGTTAAAAGGACATTTAATAATAATCATAGTAGTAGCAATAGTAGTAGCAATACTACTACTACTTTTAATTTAAATTATTGAGATTAACCCCTTCGTTTCTCTGCCTCACAGAATTTTTCCCAAACTGCCCGCGCGTGGGAACAGCCGAGCGGATCGACTGCATCCCGGACCAAGTCGCCACCAAGGTCTGAAAACATGAAAAAAAGAAGCAAAAAAATAGGTTTTATAGCTTAACACCTATGGGATAAATTACTCCCATTTAATAACAAAAGAAATGACCTTGTTTCTACCAGAGCAGGTTTTTTTAACCATTTTTCAACTGGCAAATGCCTGAATATTTTTTGGTGACGTGCAGCCACTGATAGTAACCAATTTAACCAATTTCAGCCCATTACCGAGTTGGATTTTTTCTCCGTGTGGGAGCACGTGGAGCGGTGACAAAGTCCGTCCTGTTGATTTAAATTTAAGTTGGGAACAAAACTGGGCCAGCACCAACCAATCTGGAATTTTTTCCACTTTGCTGAAAGCGCCTTTTTTTTGGCGTGATATTAACATTTCTAGTGGCATATTAAAATAAAAATTAGCTCATCACGATGCATGAGATTTTTAGGCTGTAATATTGCAATATTTTCCGAAGCAAATCGAGTCTCCATCACTCTCTTACGTTGGTGCCATCTCGATAACAGAATGCAGAATTTAGAAAACGAGGTGAATTATTTCAGTTTTCCAGCAAAACCCACTATCGTAATGCCATAAAATAGCATTTAACACAATTTGGCTGCTAAAACCGTAATTAAAGGTCAAACTGATGGCAGAGTCCTCGTTTCCATGGGAGATGGCATGTAGCCTCGGAGCAGCCTTGCGGATCATTTTAGTCTTTAATTAATAGATTGGAGCCAGCTGTGCCGTACCAAGTGGCTAACGTTAAATATTAACTTATAATTTAATGTTAGTATTAAAGTTACAATTTAATACTAGTATTAAATCTTGCTGAATTTGAGAATAAAAGCGGCGAAGCAACGCAGACATCACATATTGCGGGAAATAGTCTCGCCGCAGTTGTGCCGCAAGTTCTATTTATGTCTTCCTTTAAGTCCCACATTTTGCATCACCCCTAAGATTTAATTGGGTTTTTTTATAAGGTTCGGTGCGGAACGGAGCAGGGCCGCAAAGCGAACGAGCTGAAAATCCTATTTCCTTCATGGAGAGTTGATTTCACAAAATTATTTGATTTATTTCAATAATAATAATAATTAGAATAATGAATTATAAAGGCGATTTGCCACTGCCTTTTTTACCATTAAGTGGATTTCAGGCTAAAGGCCGCTGGGAAAATGACAATTAATTTAAATTACATGTAAGCTTGTTTAGCTGATAGAAAGCCTTGCTTTCCTCATTCATGCAAAATATAAATAAAAAGCCAGCAAACGAGCATGTATAACCAGAAATACTAAAAATCCTTATTTATTAACCATGCATAGGATGGAGGAGAGTTGGTATTCATTAACCACTCGCTGCAAACGAGAGCAAAGTTTGACGAGGCAAGAAAACGCCCTGAAAAATGACCCCTCACGGCTGGGACGTGCTCGTAGGGATTTTCTGATAAATTGGTTGATTTCTGTGGGTTTATGTAAAATAATGGTGCAGTTTGTGCGCGGTCACGCCACTGCCTTCGCCCCCAGGGCAGAGCTCAGGAGTTAGCGCTTACGCCGCTGTTAAACCTCTGCTGGCGTCCGCCTTATCTCTAGATAAGCCCGGATTCGGTCCCCGATATTTCGTATCCGTCTCTCTTGGGTGGTTTTTGTGGCCCGGAGAGTGGGGTGAGCGTTAATGTTTATTTACACAAAGCGATAGCTTTTATAATAGCGCAAATAATTTTGCAGGTGGACTCTGCTCCTTTCTCGGTGCTGGGCATGAAAGATATAGACTATAAAAAATATATACTACAGAAGTTTTTAAAATGTGTATATATAAATTATTTACATATATATGAGTAAATATATAAAGTATATAGAAAAAACACTAGATATATGATATAACATAATATATATAATTTAGGTATATACATTTTTTATATCTATATGTCGTGGTTTAACCCCAATGCTCAGTTGGTAGAGCATGGGAAGTTGGAAAGTCCTTGACTAGTATAAACACTACCTAGCAACAACTGAAAACATCAATGTGTTATCAACATTGTTCTCACCCCAAATCCAAAGCACAGCACTGTACCAGCTACTAGGAAGGAAATTAACTCTATCCCTGCTGAAACCAGGACAATATATAAAAGTATATATAAATAAATAATTTTTTGGGTGGACTCTGCTCTTTTCTTGGTGCTGGTCGTGAAAGATATAGACTATAAAATATATATACTATAAAAGTTATATATATATAAAAAGATATATATACACACACTTGATACTTGATGCTACCTGAAAATACAAAGTCATTAATAGTCATGAAGACTATTTAAAGTCTTATTTAAATATTCTTATTTTAAGAGTTTTATTTAAATAGTCCATGGTCTAGAAAGAAGAAAGAATAATTGGAAGATGGAAAAGCACCCTTATAAAACTGGAGAAAGGGAATATGAGCCAACCAGGCTTTGGGGTCGCCTCTGATATTAAACAATAATTTTTTAATATTTAGTCTTAACAGTCATTAAGACGGTTTAAATGGTGGAGCTGGGTTTATAGGACACCCGTGCTTGGTCCTGGAGATCTGGGTGTCGGGCAGAGGTCGTTTACAGACGCAGCCCTTTACTCCCCATGAAGTTCCCTCCGGATCACTGCCACACTTTGACCCCAGGAATGACTTATTTCATAAAGAACAACAACAAAAATGTTTAAAGTGATATATAACCCAAATCTTACCTTCAGAGGTAAAACCCATTTGAAAAGTGGGTGAAGAACTTAATTTCTAATAGCGGAGTGAAGGTGTCCTAGTTTATTGGGCGGGGGAGGTTGATGTCACCACACCAAGATACATTTTAAATGATGGATTGAGTTGCTTGGGTTTGTTTTTCTGTTGTTGTTTATTTAAAAAAAAAGTGGTTTTTTTTTCTCCATTTGAGCCTGTGCAGAACTCACCCGGCCATTTCTGGTATTGAGGTTGACGTGCCCGATGGTGGGTTGGTGACGCCTTCGATGAGGCAAATGGAGATGTCCATAAAACACAGAGGAATGGCTTTGTCGCTATGCTCAAATTATTGTTTTTTCCCACTATTTTAAAAGCAAAACCAACCTTCACTTTTACACAGTCTTCAGTGCATTACTTTTTTTCACCCTTTTTGTGGCTGTCGCAGCTCAAATGATTCAATAATTTCTGTAAGTCACTTGTGGCTTTAAGAAAGAACAGATGTCCAGAATCTCCTTTTTTTTTCAGAACTAATGAGCAATTTTCCACCTTGAATCCCCAAAACAACTTGTCCACGCTCTTTGCCACCAAAAGGACCTGAGAGGTCGTTCAGAGATGGAGTCCAACTGGTTGCAAATATTATACCGGGTTTTCTGGCGGGTGCACCATGGGTGCATTTTATTATGGGATTTATTTATATTAAAATCTCCTCTTTTGGACCAGAGCCTCTGCACCCTCCGCGGCTGCTGCTGGAGCCCCCAGAGCGACACCAACGTGCCGTGGTGCTTTTTCTCTTCAAACCATGGGTACAAAGTGGATGGAGGGCTGCGAACAACTCAAGAGGGTAAGTTGGCACCAAAGCTCCCAGAATTAGGTGCATGCAGATTTCCATTTCAATATAATTATTTTATTTTATTTCATTTTATTTTAGTCTCGTCTCTTCTCGTCTCTTCTCGTCTCTTCTCGTCTCTTCTCGTCTCGCTTTATTTTGCTTTATTTTGCTTTATTTTGCTTTATTTTGCTTTATTTTGCTTTATTTTTATTTTCTTTTCATTTCATTTCATTTCATTTCCCCATCCAAGGGTTTCAAGCCACATTGACACGGCTCTCCTCACCTTCACTTTTCAAGAACGATATCAACACCGTCCTCCTCACGGCGCAGTATCAGACACAAAATCGCTTTCGGTTCAAGGTGAGTTTTTTACCCTGTTATTGGCAAGATTTTGGCCTGGCTGGCGCACGAGGGAGATGCTGTGGGGTTATAAAGGCGGATTAATTCCCTTTCTCGCCCCATGACTCCCACCAAAACACACCCTTGTACTTCCAAAGAAAAATTTTGACCAGGAGAGGCTTTTTTGTACCCAGAGGAGCCAAGGTTGAACCCAGCAGGGTTTGTGTGTGAAAAATTGCAAATACTTTTAAAAAGATCAGATTTTATCTTACGTCCATTTTTTTACCCCCCTCGTCATTAGAAAACAGTTTTTGGCCAAATACATTCCTTTACGTCTCTCTCACGATTGGTTTGGCAGAAAACTTTAGCACTTCCAAAGCGTTTTGTGTTTTATGGAAAATTCAGTGCTCAGCGCGTAGTAAATATGCCAAAATCCATGGATTTTTGGGGCTGGACAGGACTTCTGTTCTTCTTGTTTGTTTTGTTTTGTTGGGTTTTGGTTTGGTTTGGTTTTTTTTTTTCTTTTTTCTTTTTTTTTCTTGTTTCTTTTTTCCCTTTTTTCCCCCCCTTTTTATTCTTTTTTTTTCTTTTTTTCCCCCTTTTTTTCTTTTTTTAATTTGCTTGGGGCTGGAGGGTGCCACATGTTTTCCTGCCAAAAATCCAGGAGTCGGGCTGGGTTTGGTTTCACCCAGCCAAGATAGGACATGTAGAAAGACTGAAAATGAGATGCTGAAGAAGGGCTGGGCAATGCCTACGCACATGGTCATGCAGAATTCTGCCTCCTGCATATTTTCCATGGGAAAAATACCCTCCGATCAAGCAATAACGGGAAATGCCCTCGTATCTACCCAAATAAAGAGGCTGGGTAGGTTTGCAGTCTTAATTTTGCCATTTATTGATGTTGACCACTTCTTGTTGTGATGCTGTTTTGACAATGGGTGGTTGGTTTTTTTTGCCAAGTCAAATTTGTATGGTCATGCTGGAAAGTGTTAAAATGAGGCATTAATTTCTAAATTACTGATTTTGTTCTTTAAATGTATTTTGTTCTTTAAACATGCATAGATCACCGATCCTAAAACACAAAGGTTTGAAGTCCCCCATGAGCACGTGGGACCTTTCAGTGGACCGGCAGCCTCCAACTTAAAATATAAAGTTGATGTCCAGCAAAATCCCTTTGGCATCAAGGTGACCAGAGCAAGCAACGGAAAAGTTTTGTGAGTAAATTTTGGGCTTTTTATCCATAAAATCGCGATGCCATCTGTTTTCTCTGAAGGTCCGCGTTGCTTTAGGTGCCCTTTTGGGCGTGTGAACGGCTTCTTCTTTTCTGTTGATGGATAAGCAGGATGGAAAGGCTTTTTCCACATAAATTTTGGGAGATGGGGAGGTCTGTCTCGCGGGGTTTCGGTTTTGTCATGTTGGCTCTGTGCCCTCTTCTTCCCTTAATCCTGCGGAGAACTGATGAATTGTGCCACCCACTCATCAATTACGATGAGAAATCCTTCCCAGCATCACCTTTTACTGCATCTTTCCTGTCTTATTTATGATGCTCCTCCTGAAGGTCTCAGCCCCCAAAATAAGGTTGTGCTTCAAGTGTGTGATAGGAGACTGTTTGGTACCAACTGGTGCTAAGCTGGTCTTAGAATATTGTAAGTAAAATATTCAAAGCGCTTCTATACTGAAGGATTTTAATCTCTTTGTTTTCTTACCCCCTCCCCCCCCCCCCCAACCTGACGAAAGCAAAGCTGGGCTAACAGCCCTGCACTGAGACCCGCGGAAGGCAGAAGCCTCAGGAGTAAATATTTATTAAATGAATTAAAAAGGGATTACTTAGCTGGCCGCTAGCAGGAGTCGGATTGCTACCATCCCTTCAAGTTTAATTAATTAGGATTTAATTTTTTTCCTGTTCTTAGCCTTGTTTGCTTTCTTAAAAGCCTCTCTAAAGACTGATTTACCATTAGCAAGCGCATGAAAGACGGAGTGGGTGCTCAGGACTGATTTAGTTGGCACGTGGAGGGGGGAATAGTTTAATTCAATGGGACCTGTTTGAAATGGCACTCTAGAAGATTGCTTAAATTTTCCTCAGACTTTCATTTAATTTGGAAAAAAAAATAACGTTGCGTTTTACGGTTTCAATTTAAAAAAATTCACAATTAATAAATTATTATTAAAAACACCCAGTATTTTTACTGCAATATGTAACACGACTGGTTTTGGCCAAATTATGAGATGCATATGAGAAAATTAGTAGTGGCACATGATGCAAATGCTTTCTTAAATAATGGCTTGGGTTTTTTGGGGGGGGATTTAGCGACACTAATGGATACAACCTTCAGCATAAAAATTTTTGTGCAACATTTCATCGTTTTGCCAGGTTCAATACCACCATCGGCCCGCTGCTGTATGCTGAGCAGTTTTTACAGCTCTCCATCAAACTCCCCAGCAGCAACATCTACGGGGTGGGCGAGCACGTGCATAAGCAATACCAACACGATGTCAACTGGAAAACCTGGCCCATATTCAGCAGGGACACGGCCCCTTCTGGAGTAAGCACTTATTTTATTACATTTTCCTACTTTTCAGGAAAATTCTGGAATCCAGCCGTAGTTGGCACATTAACAATATCCACTGACTTTTTTTTTCCTTAAAGAGTTGCCAAGTGTTGCAAAATGTGAGATAGCACTGAAAAAAAATTCCCGTTGGAATAGCTTTTCCTAAATATTTGGGTTGAATTGGTTGGGTTTTGCTGCAGATCAGCTGATGAACGTTAATATCTGACAGACTTTGTTCTGTGCTGTTTTTTCCTGCCCCTGCACTGCTGTGTGCAAAATTGGGTAGATAGAGCACTTTTCCTTCCGTGGCGTCGTATCTGAGGAAATAATGCAAAGTTGCCCTCAGCAGCTGTTGCTTTATAAAGCAAAATAGGTCTGCCAGCAATTATTTTGTTTCTACATTTTCTGCCTTTTTTTTTCCAAGGTGATTTCTAGGGCATCTGGTTTTCAGAAAGTATAAAAGCGTATTCTTCCATCTGCAATGAGATGTTTTATCCTGAATCCGTGAGGTTTTGACACTATATCGCTCTGTCACTGCATCAACTTGCAAAATTGGTGATTTAAAATCGGTCATTGCTATTTATACTCATTTTTTGCTTATTGCTTTTTCTGACTTGGATTCCCACACACAACATTTTTTTGGGGGGGTCCTTTGGGGGAAACAGACAACCAAATGTTATTGCTGTGCTTATTCATAGATTTCAGGCTTGATGAGAAAAAGGAAATATTTGGTGGTGTGTGTAAGCGCTTGACAAGATAATGTTATAAAAACCCACCCGATAGAAAACATTAAATTTCTGGTGTAAGAAAAGTAACGTAGATCATGAAAGAAGGAATAATAAGAATATTTTTACACTTGATTTTATGTGAGTCCCTAAACCAGCTTATTTATAACTATAGAATCTCAACCTCCATTCAACATCATTTTTCATTATTGGGGACAATAAGGAGATTAAACGAGTGTTAAACTGCGACTGTTTAATGCAGCACCGATCCTTGTGCTGAATTTGGAGTAAGTCCTGAAGTCTTTTGCTGAAATAGGAGTGATGTGAACGGGATTTGGGGAGCAGCTCGATGTTTGCAGTTAATTAATGTTGTAGAAGAAGGATCTTTCAAAGCTTTGAGACATTGTCTATGGGCTGCTACGTCTGTTTTGGTTTTTGAACCAAAACCCGGAATTTGCCTCATTATCAGCAACACATGAAATTGTCACCTTTATTTTCTTTCCATCCCCACTAGAGATGCAATTTATAACCTTCATCTTTTAAATAATGGATATGTGGAGGTTTGAAGATAGTTCTTATCCAAGCAGCTCCGCTGAAGGTTGGTTTCCCTAAATTTGTGCTTTCAACAGATTTTAAGCAACTTAAAGGCATTCCATAAAAGGGAGAAATTAAAAAAATGAGGTTAGTGTCGGTGATTTTACTTTTGCTGTTTGTTTCCTTTGACAAGTTTAACCTCACATGTGATATATTTTTGAGATACCGCAGGGTGCATATAGCTATTGGGTTTTTTTAATCAGCTTTTCTGGTTTCCTTTAAGAACATGGATAACCTATACGGTGTTCAGACCTTCTTCTTGTGTTTGGAAGACAACACTGGAGCCTCTTTTGGTGTTTTCTTGATGAATAGCAATGCCATGGGTAAGGCATTCTCCATTCTCCCTGACTTCTCCATAAGTATTGCAAAAAAATTAGGTGTATTTTTTAAATGATCTGCAATGCCATGGGTAAGAATGCCTTCTTCATAGCTCTAAGTATTGCAATATATATATATATTTTTAAATGATCTGCAGGGCTATTGCACTGTGATTCTGCTGAGCTGATGTAGATTTTTAAAAAAATAATCACATGTCAAATTTTGAATGAAGTTGTCTTAAAATCTGTGACTGCAGCCATTTTTTTAAGCATTTACTCGTGTTTCCTATACAAGCAGCATTAAGGTTGTATTGCAAGACCAGTGTCATACACCTTGTGCGCATTTTTGTCACATTTAGGGATGTTTCAGTACAAGATATTAAAATCTGAGCCTAAATGTATACTGAGCAGCACTTGTAAATATATGCCCTTAATTTCCCTTAGATAAGCATGTACATATTTGGGTGCTTAGTAAATATTCAAGTGTCTTGAGACTGAAAATATTATGAGAAGAAGTTGTGCCATTGGATTTCTTTTCTCTTTCTGGACTGTAATTGAATGTAAATACGGACATTTTTAGGAAAAAAAAAAAAAGAGCTGAAAACATTCTACTTGCGTTGCAAGCTCCAGTAATGGTTTTGGGTTTCCTTGAATATTTTTTTGTTCGCTGTTTTCTCCTAGACAATTTTTATACCTTTTCTATCGGCATCAAAGTTATCTGAGATTTAGGTAACATCCCAAATTGATTTTGTGCATTTTTTTGCTCACAGAGTTCGCCCTGCAGCCGGCGCCGGCTGTCACTTACAGAACAATTGGGGGAATTCTTGATTTTTATGTCTTCTTGGGAGACACCCCCGAGCAAGTGGTGCAGGAGTACGTGAAGGTACGTTGGTGCACCCCAGCCCAAAGGTGGTGGATCCTCCATCCTTGGAGACACTCAAAGCATGACCACAGACAGTCCTGGGCAGATGGCTCTTGCTTATTTTCTTGACCAAGGATGATCTCCAACCTCCATCGTCTTGTGGTTTATGTTGAGAAATTATGCATTGAACAGACTTTTTTTTTCCTAAGTTTCCTCCCCCTCTATTTCCATGTCTCTTCACTCTTTTATTAATCCAAAATTAGAACTCAAGATTTGCCCCTCGCCTGTTTACTGTCATCAGGAACTGCTCTCTAGGGTTAGTTGGGGTTAAGGGTGAAACTTAAGCCCTAATTTTGCTCAGATTGCTAAATCCGTCCGTACACGTGAGCTAAAGGTTTGCCAGCTTGGCCGTCTGCTACTGGAGCCTGCAATGGTCTGCCTGCAGCAACGCGCTGGCGGTCATTTTTTACTTATATGCTGAAATCATAGGGTAGATAATGCGCTTAGCAATTGGTCATGATTTTATGGTAGCAAAGTATCTACACTTCTACATATCTATTGAAGTCTCTGTGGCAACTAATTCCCATATGTATTTTGGGGGCCAAATACATGTTTCAATGTATTAAACTTCTTAACGAAAGGATACGTACATTTAAAACAACACTAAATTTAGTTCTTTAGTAACTTAAATCTTTAAATTTAGACTAAAACCTTTCCATTCCATTCCATTCCATTCCATTATTTTTATGCAGTTTCCCTTATTTCTATGCAGTTTCCCCTTACTTAGATCATCACAATTTTTCCAGGTTCATTCTGCAGCTTTTCTTTACCTCGCCTCTCCTTGGTAATTCTGCTCCTCAGTTCAGGGGTATTGGTGGTGTGATATTACCTAAAGTCATCACTCAAGTATAACAGCTGCTGTATAAATACATGATAAAATAACGTTATTAAAACTAAGAGCTTACGCTTTTTTGGTAAGGCAGCAAATAAATGGGTGCGATGCCAGAAAACAGAATGAGGTGGCAATTTTATATAATAATAACAATAACAATAATAAACTTTATGGGTAGCAATGGATACATCATTCTTTGCATCATTCACATTTGGGTTTTTCTGGGGGAAAAAATAGCATAGAAAAAGATAGCAGCTGTGGGCGATTGTGTAAAACACACTTTATCATACTTGAGTTGAATCTCTGGTTTGAGAGAGAATCAGAGAATTTAGGGCATCAGACCCAAAGAGAGGAGGTCAATGATGCTCGTTATTTTTGGCTTTAATTTCCAGTTCATAGGGTTGCCAGCATTGCCTTCCTATTGGACTCTGGGATTTCACCTCAGCCACTACGATTATGGGTCTCTCGACGAGGTGAAGGCTGTTGTGGAGCGAAACAGAGAAATCGGACTCCCTTACGTGAGTAAAAATGTGAATTTTTTTTTCCTCTTTAGCTACGGCCATTTTCCTTGGCTGCACAGTTTTCTATATAAAATGCTGAATGATTTTAAATGTCATTTGTTCCCTTTTTTGTGGAAACAATTTTTCGGTTTAAAGTTTCCAGCTCAATATATTTATTTCCACGTTATGCACATTTCTTGGGCTTAATCTGTGAACCAATGGGATCATCCCCAGTATGCAAATTCACTTTACACTCTCAGAAACCCTGGCAAACTAAAGAGCATCAGAAGCTAATTTTTTCCCCAATTTAGCGATGGATAGCAGTTAAAAAAATACTTCAGGTGCTCACATCCAGCTGCTTTTCTGGGAATTTTTAATCAAAATGCAGCACGTTGAGAAGATGCGCCGTGGTCGGGACCCTTCAGCATCACATCTAACGTCCCGTCTTCTCCCAGGATGTTCAGCACACGGGTATCAGCTACATGGAAGCGAGGAAAGATTTTACTTACGACAAAGTGAACTTCAAAGACCTCCCCAGTTTTCAAACTTATATGCGTGACTATGGGCAAAAATACATTATCATACTGGTAAGCATTTAGCTATTAATTTTTCCATTTTAAATAGTATCATTATCAGTATATACGTTTTATATATATATTGTTTTTTTTAATATATATGTTGTTACATGAGACATCTTTCTGCGTAGTTGCTGGCCTCTACATAATTGGCGTAGAGAACCAATAATTGGCGGAGAGAACTGTTTTCTTTTGTGTTGTTTTCCACTTTTTTAGGATGCTGCTATTAGCACAGAGGCTCTCGCTGACGGTTCTCCCTACCGAGCCTATGAGAGGGGACAAAGCAAGAAAGTTTGGGTTAATGAGTCGGACGGAGTAACACCGTTAGTTGGAGAGGTAATAAAACCCTTACGAAGTCAGAGCCCAAATCCCATTTAGTTTGGGCCCAGGGTAATCTTCCATGTTTCTGTTATTCTCAATATTTTGCAACATTTCCATTTTTTAATCAGTTTTCTTTACATTTTGATTTTTCAAAAGGAAAAGTGAGCTAATTTGAAGGTTTGGGAGACATGGGCAGCCGATGTCTGATTACTTTCAATCGTTATCAGAGAGCAATTCCTGCTTTAGTGCTTTGAAAATCTGTTTATAATAGATTTACAAATGCAGCTGCTTATTATAAACTTTGCATAACTTAAAAATAATTTTGACTTTAAAAGTGACTGGCGTTTAGAACTCAGAAGTTAACAAAGACACTGTCTGCCTTCTTTCTGCGTGTGAATTTAAGAATAATAAAATTCTTATCAATTAATAATGATAATTCATATTATTCAATAATGATAATATTAATTCACTCTTGCAATGATCATTTACTCTTGCAATTTGCAGCTCAAAAACCTCCCAATCACTATATCAACACTGTCCTGCACAACTAATAATCATGAGGTTTTATACCCAAACGTTTCTCCAAGAGAGCAATTCACATAAATCTGAAAGAAATCTGAGGATTTCAATCTTTCTGCAAGGTCATCAATGGTTTAATTTAACTATTTCCCTTTTTTTATTGTAGGTGTGGCCAGGCAGAACCGTCTTCCCAGACTTCACCAACCCTGACTGCACCAGCTGGTGGGTGGAGGAATGCAAAATATTTTATAACCAAGTGCCCTACGATGGGATCTGGATTGTAAGTAACTCCTGAAATTTTCACATTTTGCAAAAATAGGCTAATGGCAAGTCAAGTTTTAGTCTGCATTGAGTCGAAGGAAGATTTACTGAGAATAACCTGAAATCTGTGTGGGATTTGTATCTTTTCTGTAGCGTTCAATGCGATTGGGTGAAATCCTTGTTTTTCTGGTGTCGGAGGGATTTTGTTAGAAATTGCATTTATCCAATGCGTTGGATGCTTGCTTCTTTCAGTAGAGGTGTATTTAATGTAATTTAATTTATCCAAGAACCGACTGTGACCAGGATCATAATTACTACACTAACTTTTAGTTTTAATAAACGGTATTTTGGGGGAGAAATTGTTTTCCCTCTAGAGAAAAGATGAACACCCTCTGCAGGATTTTGGGTTTTAGCTCAGTAAAGTCATTTTTCTCAGGCCAGAACAAATAACCTTTATTATATAAATAATAATCTGCAGGATTTGGGAAGAGTTATAGAACTTAATTTCTCCCGTTTGAGTGGGATACCACCGTCTCCACTTAAAATCATCTTTTGGACATTCAGAAAGATTTTCTTTTTTTTTTCTTTGGTTGCTTTGTAAATCAGTGTCCTGGTTGCTGTACAAGGAATTCAGAGGCTTATGAATATTATTCCTTATATGCTTTTTGTGCCCTCAAGTCATAGTCACTGCAAGTGGGTTTGTGACTGTATATTTGGCTGAAAGCCGAGGAAGTAGTGCTGTTACAAATGAACGTTATAGCTGCCATTTGAAATTCAAATTTGTGATTTTTCAGGATATGAATGAAGTAGCCAACTTTGTTCAAGGCTCAAGTAATGGCTGTGAGCAGAATGACTTGAACTATCCTCCTTTCACGCCCCGTAAGTCCATCGTCTGTAGCTGTGGAGCAAAAAAAAAATTCAAAATGTTTGTGAATTACTGTCCTATCAGCTACAAGGTTTTGCATTCTTTATCAAGCCAGAAATGTGATCATTGCCAGTACACGGTCAGATCAAATTATTCAGAAATTTGGGGTGTAGCTTTTGGGTGAGTCCTTCCTTACATGCAAAATCCATCTTGAAGCTGGATTTAAGCTTATTCAATTGAAAAATTGAAATAGCATCATGCTACTAAATCCCACCCTGTTAAAGCTGCATTTGCGCACATTTTAGCAGCAGTCGGGGAATTATTTTGCTGTTTCTAAATTGATTGCTGTGAGATATGGGAATTTTGAAGACAGAAATAGTCTTTGTTAAAGCAAAGATGAATGAACCCGGAAACCCGTAGTAATGTTGTATGACACAGGTGAGCACTTACCGCTTTGGCCTTGGAGGGCTGGGGTTAATGCAAATGCCAGGCTGAGAAAAGGGCCAAAATTTCATGAATGCTCATGAAGGAAAAGACTAGAAATACTGTTTTTTTTCCCCCTTATTTAAATTGATTAAATTTAATTTTTCAAAAAATAATTTAATTAAATC